GCTGAAAAGAATGCAGTAAGCCTGGTTTCTTTGATTGTTCCCATCTTTTTAAATTAGAGAGAGATGGCAGAGGTGCATGCTACATGCTACATAGGGTGAAGGGAACATCAGAGAAGAACTATACATAAAGCATCAAGATGTGAGCTGCATAAAGTACAGCTTGTTGCCTGGACTGCAGCAACCTAGTGCGCACAAGCATTGCAGCTGTATCAGATGGAGGCCAGAGTAATATCAATGAGGGTGGTTGTTTTGCAAGCAGTGGGGACTGGAGATAGGGACAGCAATTCTAGGTGTACAAAATAAGCCCATTTCAAAGTTGGCCAGGGATGGCCTGTGCCTCCCTAGGATGGAGAACAAGATGCAGGAGAATGCCAAGCTATTTCTGCTTTTGTCTAGAAAGGACTCAAAACTAAACTTCACAGCACAAGCTGTGCACCCTGATCATCTGCTTCTGCAGTTCTCCCCAGTGGGAGAAGACCTCCTATTCCATTCAGATGAGGTGCCTCAACAGAGCAGATGCTTCTCCAGATACCTTGAGTCAGCAGAAGGCTTCCAAAATCCAGGAGGAACAGGCTGCCTACTGGTTTTAGTTCCCAGACAGTGCAAGGTGGATGAAGAGTACAACCCAAGCACTCAAGCCAGTTTAGGGCTCCATCCAAGTTTCTTGCAGCAATCAGTTATTGATAGCTTGTAGGTACATCCCTAGGCAGATGACAGGAAAAGAGCTGGGTTTCCATTTCAGGCAGGAAGACGCTCAGTGCAATGCCTAGGAACAGACCTGGAGCTTGAATTGTGCATGCCCACCCAAAGAACTTTGGGTGCAAACCCAGCAAGCAGCAGGAGACAGTTCACCAGCACCCTTATCTGCATCTACGTGGATAAAGACCACCACAGCCCCAGGGCACTTGCAGTGTCCAAAAACAGCAGCCAAGGACTCCCAGATATCATGCCACTTGCAGAGCTTTACCATGCTAGCACATAGTGCTGTGATCCCTTCCTTACCCACTAAGACAGACCTATGATGGGAAGTATCAGGCTCTTCAACCTTGCTTGAATACATTAGCACAACCCCCTCTTGAACATGAAGCTAAGTCAGCAAACAGGAGCCAGAGGCCATGGGGGCTGCTGAGGACATACAGCTCCTTGTTTCTTCCTGACACCCAAGGGCCTGTCATTTGAGCCTTCTGCCCATCAGTGGAGAAGAATTGACATCATTGTGCTATGCAGCCAACTGGCAGTCAGCAGCGTTGCAAAATGCCTCCTTTGTAAGGGAGAGGCTTGGGAACAGAGCTTTCCTGAGTCAGAGGAACCACATCCCATTTATCAGGCCTAGGATATGCCAACCGAAAAAGGCTGAAAAAGCGAGAGTAGCCCAAGATTTAAACCCTTTCATTGCACTGGCAACACAAAGTCCCACCAGCACTGTTGCAACACTGCAAAATATAGGGTCCCAGCTCAACCTGGAGAATCCTGTTGGGAGCGTGTGTCCATTGACCTCACAGCACTTGGGCAGAGAAAAGCCACTAGCCCTATGGCTTTTCCAAGCTCTTTACTAGGTCTGAGCAAGCATCCACTAAAAAAAAAAAAAAAGCCTAATCCTCACAGCATCCTTTATATGAATTGATAGAAATAATGCAGCAGTAATGAAGTGAGAGCAGAACTTCAGTCACTTCTGTATTTTATGGCCCCTATTGTCATCCATTTGCACTCCCTGAAAGTCCTAGCACTCCATAGGGGTAACCATGGAATCTCATGCACAAGCTGCCCTAGCATAGGACTTTGTGCAATCACTGCAGGCATGAGGGAAAAAAAAATTTTTTTTTTTTTTTATATATATTATTTCCCATGATGGGCCACCAACCCAATTCATCACTCAGCTTTGCAGTGCTATTTCATACCTACCCAGTGCACTTTGTGCACAGCCCTGCCCAGTGCTAGAGAGATTTAGCACTGAGCAACAAGTGTCAACGTATCACCGGAGCCAAGCAGCAAGCAGGGGCTGGCACATGAGAGCACAGCATGCACTCCATGACCCCTGCCCCCCACCCTTTCCTCCCCCATCAGAGACTCACCTCTGTGCCAGCATCCTTGTGAATTATTCTTCACTGCCTGCATGAGTGCCACCTCTTTGCATACGTTAATTAGACTCAGTGGGTAAAATAAAACAGAGTGAAGACTCTAATTCCCTGTCTGTGCACTCATTATAGAAGCAGCAGCAACTGGGATGTCAAGGAGGATTAAAAATGGAGAGCTAGGAAGTTGCATGTTGTTACAGTACAAAGCCTGCAAGATCCCTCCTGCCTTTCTCAGAGTACTGCCTGTTTTATGAGCCACCCACCAGACCTGGGAACTCTGAAATCCGCCCCATGCATTTCCTGCACAAATAACGCAACTCACAACTGTTTTTCTATCCTTCTATAAATTCAGCCATATCCACTCTAGGAGGAATAATGATCTTCTAGTCTTACCACTTGCATAGCACTGGCCAGAGAATCCTACCAACTCCAACCAGTAAAAATCTTTCAGAGCATGAGTCTCAACACCATTGAGCTCAATAACTTCTAGCTGAATTGGTGCATCTTTTTGAAAAGCACCCACAGCCTCAACTTACACACTATGAGCAATGATACATTAAGCAAGTGATGTATAGCACAGTATGTGCGTCAGTCTTCAGCTACAGAAGCCCCTTAAGAATCATAAGCAGAGAAGCAGTTTCATCTCCTAGCCTCCAGAAACACCGACTAGATTCAGGGGTGGGCAAAGTACGGCCCAAAGGTCAGATCCAGCCCACCAGACTATTCTATCCGGCCCGCAAGGCCCCTAAATAAGTTTAGAAAATGAATATTTGTTTGCTCCTGGCTGCCTGGAGCCAAAGGCAGTCAGTCAGACCCAGGGGAAGCCCGTGGCAGGAACCAGCAGCAAGACCCACCCAGCCCTGCCCCACTCCAACCAGAAGCCCCTGCCTAGCAGAGGCTTCTGACCTGGGACTGCAGGGCTGGTCCCGCTTCCCTGCGCTGGAGAGGGAAATGTGGCCCTTGACAGCTTGCCAGAACTCAGTAAACTGCCCTCCACCCAATGTAATTGCCTGCCCCTGGACTAGATGTTATCAACATACCAGGAACCAGAGCTCTAATACCATGGCTTGGGTATTGGTAGCTCACAGCTTGGTTAAAGCCAGGGTAACACTGTGCATAGCTGAAAAAACTGTGCTCATCTTGCTTGGGAGGTAGTTTATTCTCACTGTAGAGTCCATGATCTATTTGGAGGAACAGGATCTAGGAAGGAGACTCAGCAGCTTGCATTTGGTCAGTCTCTAGCTTGCTCAGACTACAAGAGCCATGCCTACATTGATGACTGCCTTAGGTACACCATTCTGTTGCCAACGCTACTCCAGACATGTGGAAGCTGCCGTAGCAGTTTTACTTCAAGCCATACAGAAGTAGTCTAGCCACCTAAAGACCCTGCTGCTACTGCAGACAGATGCCTCAGTGCCAGCCCAGCAGCAGGCATTTCACAAAACCCAATACAGCATGGGCTGTACCTTCAGGAAAGCAAAAAGGAGCCTGAACCCAGGGAGGTGCCCCGCCATGCTGGGTGTTGCTAATATACAGAAAGCACTGAGCCAAGAGGAAGGGATAAGCAGGCCTAGAGCTTAGGCAGCCATCCCTCCTGCAAAGCAAAAGCAACCATGGAAGCAAGCCTGCAGGACCTTCCCCTGCTCATCTCATGGCATGAATTCAGAGTAATGCCCTAACCTTCAACAATGGGGTGCCAGGGGAAGGTCAGCTTTTAGCCTCATAAGAGCTCTGGATTGAATCCATCACCAAGCTCAATGGGCCAGACAGCAGCTCAACCTCAAGCCTTGCCAGCTGTGCTAAGGAAGCTACCAGTCAAGAGCCTGTGCTGGTAGAATGACAAGCACCTCCTCAAGGTGGAAGCTCAGGTGGTTTATGACCACAGCCAATTCACCATGAGACTCAGGGAACAGACCCAAACAGGTTTCCTCCCCCTTTGCACAGGGTTAAAAAGGACTAAAAGATTGCACAGATGTACCCACACCAACTTGCCTTGAATAACCATCATCAATTGATGAACAGTGCCAAGATCTCCCTTGCTGTAACACTGCTTTAAGACCTGGACCGACCTGCTATAGATTTTTAAACATTTTTTACAAAATGATATGGCCCTTTAAAAAAAACTTTCTAAACCCAATAAATTCCTTTATTAAACTAGCCTACTCATTGTTCCCACCTCACTTCTGGGTAATAGGCCTTATATCAGTTGGCTGTGGTCTTGGCTGCTGGCAATTTATTACAGATGCATTTCATAATTTGCTTTATACAACACACTGTTAAGTCCAATAGTTTCCTCTCTTTAAATTGTTTCTTTGAGGCTGAAGTTTAAAGCAACAAGGCTGGTAGCTGTAATTTTTTCTGGATGGAAGGCATTTGTATAAAAAGCTACAACATGGACACTTACTGGAATTTAAAGCTTTCCTTTTCCACTTTCAAAGGTTTCATCTGGTCTCAAAGTTATTGATCTTATGAGGGAGAGAAAGAAAATGCACTCTAAAGAGACTCCAACATGACATGAGCCATCAGGGTATTTTTTTATTCCCCCCCTGCAACATACTGCAAGTCTTTGCTGCTCTGCTCCAGCCTCTTGGCTCCTCACCTGTAGAAAGGTAGAGTAGGGTACAGCAGGCCATTTAGAAGGGTCCTTTTCATTTCTCTCCCCCTTGTCTTTATAAAAATTCCACATTATCCCTTTCAAACAAGTCTTTCCAAAGTGCCTTCCAGGATTGTTTGCAGATATGGCACCAAGATGCAAAAGCCAAAAAACCAAGACATTATGTATGGTATTGCTCAGTGCAGAACAAGCTGGACCTAACCTAGATGCTTCCCCATTAGTTTGCTGTGAACAGTTTGAGTGACACACTTGGTTTGGAATCTTCTTGTTTTAGATTTAAAACAAAGATCTCTTCTTTGGCGAATACTTACAAAACCAGCAAGCTGGAAGTAGATTGGTAAGCTCTTTGCAAGAGCTGATGTCACAGTCTTGTTCTCCAACTGGCATCTACTGCACGAAAATGGATGGAAAGGCAAGAAAGCTTCTTCTAACCCGATGGGTGGAAGCCCAGGTGGCGATCAGCTGGTTTGTGGAACCACTCCTGTGAGTAGACAAATGTCTCATGATTATTAAAGTCCATTTGCAGAGCTTGCTTTAATTCTGTATTGAGGAGCTCCCCTAAAGTCACTTGCAAGGGAACGGTTATAACAGGAGGAACAGCAAGGGCACTGCACTGTCAGAAGAGGAGGTATCAGTGACATGTTGCCAGGAGAAGGAGGCTGCCTTTTTGCCCATTCCCTCTTTCAGCTTTACCAAAGAGGTAAACTCCAGCCTTTCCAGGTCCTCTGACTAACAGCTTTCCAGGGACTGTCCTGGTGGTATATAAAAGGAGAAACAGCCAAGTTTATTCCCCATGTCTCCCACCCCATAAACAGCAGTAGCATTCAAACATTTAAGTAGAAAGAAGAGCTCCCTTGCACCTGAGACTGGCTCTGAACGATGTACCCGAGGAACAGCAGACTTCCCACTTCACCCACCTAGTCCCAACTAATGTTTAAAGTCTTTTACCAGTGAACCGTCTAAACGAACTCCAGGTATGAAACCAAGTTAACTGGATGCCTCTTTGGAGGGGCAGGCTTTTCAGTACAGATGTTCTGGCATCATGGCCTGACCTCCACACTTCTTCAGCTGGTGTCCAGTGGGACTGCCCAGGGACCAAGGACTCCACTGCATGTGAAGTAGTGTGCTTATGAACAGACCCTGCAAGATGCCTCATTTGTAACAAAGGATATTAGGTGGAGCAGTGACATAAGCCTAAGTTTCCCACACCCCAACCGAATGCCCTGAACACCAACACAATCATTTTTCCTTGTCTCTTAAAATAGGCAAATCTTTTGGTGAGATCTTATCCAGACATGCATGTAGAACCAAGCACCGCAGCTTTTACTTATTGGTCTGGTACAATTGCAAGCAGCAGCTGACCAACAGGAGTGTCTTCTCCCTGCCATCCCCACAGTACTCCACTCCGTTTGGCAAATGGCCGGGGTACAAGTCACAGGAAAAGGGTGACCTCCCCTTTCTCTAGCAGGACAAAGGGCAAGGCTGCAGCAGAAGCACATGCCATTAAGACTATGGTACACCATACTTTCATGGATTTCATAGATTTTTAGGGTCAGAAGGGACCTCAATAGATTGAGTCCCCCCCCCCCCCCGGGAACAAAAAACTTGGGGGACAGCCCCCCCGGCAGGAAAAAGCACTGGGGACAGATGACCCCAGCTAGGTGCTTGTCCAATCACCTCTTTAAAAGACCTCCAAGGTAGGGGAGAACACCATCTCCCTTGGAAGCCCATTCCAGATTTTGGCAACCCTCACCATAAAGAAATGTTTCCTAATGTCTAATCTAAATCTGCTCCCCTTTAGTTTATGGCTGTTGTTCCTAGTAACCCCAAGGGGCAACCTGGTAAACAGAGTATCCCCTATTTCCTGCTGCCCCCCCCGATGAATTTGTAGATAGCCACAAGATCCCATCTCAGCTTTCTTTTGTGGAGCCTGAAGAGATCCCTCAATCTTTCCTCATAGGATCTTACCTGCAGGCCTTTAACCATATGAGTAGCCCTCCTCTGGACCCTCTCAAGGTTATCCACATCCCTCTTGAAGTGCCGTGCCCAGAACTGGATGCAGTACTGCAGCTGCCGTCTTAACAATGCCGCATAGAGGGGAAGCATCACCTCCTTAGACCCGTTTGCGATACACCTTCTAATGCACGAAAGTGCAGTAGGCTTTACTCATCGCTTCGTCACATTGACAACTCATGTTCATTTTGGAGTCGACTATGACTCCAAGATCCCTTTCTGTTGCTGTGCTGCTTAGGAAGTCACCTCCCAGTCTGTAGGTTTGTTGGCGATTCTCCCCCTAGATGCAGCACTTTGCACTTATCTTTGGGAATGTGGGAAGAACAGAAAAGGATGCAGTTTAACAATGTCCAAATCTGCTTCCTGCCCTCCCATATGTTTACTTTGCCCCATAATTTGGTGTCATCCATGAATTTGGACAGAGCACTCTCCATGCCCTCATCCAAGTCACCAATGAAGATACTGAACAGCACTGGTCCAAGGACCTAACCTTGGGGAACTCCACTGCCCACATTTTTTCAGGTTGAAAATGATCCATTCACCACCACTCTCTGGGTGCATCCCATTAGCCAGTTCTCCACCCACCTGACTGTAATAATCTACATCACAACTGCTTAATTTTTAAGTATGGGATGCAACACTGTATCAAAGGCCTTTTAAAATCCAAGTAGATGCAGGAGTGGGGATGAATGTCATCTAAGCATTTTGTGACCTGGTCACAAAAAGAAACAAGGTTAGGTAGGTAGGATCTACCCGCTATGAAACCATGTTGATTGCCTGTCAGCATTATTTTTCCTCCTGGACTCCTACAAATGTAATCCTTAATTTTTTCAAAGGTTTTCCCCAAGGATAGAGGTGAGGTTAACCAGCCTATAGTTACTCAGATCATCCTCTCTCTTCTTCTTGAAAAGTAGGGACCACAGTGGCCCTTTTCCAGTCCTCTGGGACCCATCCCAAGTGCCATGAGTGCTCAAACAATTTAGCCAGTGGTTTGCAATGACACTGGCCAATTCCTTCAGCACCCTTGGATAAAGATCAGGGCCTGCCAACTTGAACATGTCCAACCCCTCCAAGTGTCCCTTCACTAGGTCAGCACTAACTGTTGGTGGGATGGAGTCCCTCTTGTGTCCATCTATAGCCCCTTTCCACTTTTGAGAAGCAGCACTCACAGCTGTGGGCACAAAGATCTGAGCACCCCAATAGGCCACTAGTCAGTCATTCTTGGATGCCCTTTTTGTTGAAGGAAAAAAAGACAAAAAGGAGGGTAGGGCAGAAGTCCCAGCTTAGGAGAAGACATTATGCATGTCCTACAAGCCCACAATCCACTGAGATGTTTTCATCCCTGCCCAAGACAGTGGGCCGAGATGCTCAGGAGAGGGGCAATCATCATGATCTTGATGCTAAGTGGTAAAACATTCCCCAGGGAATTGTATTCTTACAAACCTGGCTACAGGAATATTGTCAACAGGCCCCAAGGTGGAGGAAAAAAAGGAAAGAGGAGGGCCAGTGACACCCTTATCAGTGTCTGACCAACTCAGCCAGGAGGCAGCCAGTCCAACCCAACCTCCACTATTGCTCTCCAGTACAGAAAACCAGCCATAACCCACAGCCCAGGAAAAACTCACTTCCAAGCAGTAACTCAGCCTTCTTGTGTATCCAGTCATCCACTTTGTCCCCTCACACCTCCTAGGAGACCTGCTAGGGGTAGAGTACTACAACCATGTGTTTTAGGATTTCACTACGGGGGTATAACAGGATCAGGCCCCAGGGGCAACTGAGACACCTGGGAGGCCGAATGGCAGCTGCCCAGCTCTGGCTCCAAGGTACCCTCCCTAACCATTCCCCTGCCACACTTCAATGTAGTTGGTTGACTTGGAAAGGGAAGCTGCCAGAGGGACCTAGAGCAAGCCCCAGTCCTTCAGTCTGCCAGCAGATCCCTTCTCTGAATCCCACCCTCAGGAAGCAGGCCTTCCTGGTTTGGACATACCCCCAGGCCATTCACGGCCCTACAGGCCATTCACGGCCCCCAAATCTCCCTTGCAGCCATGCTCATGGTAACACATGTGTTACCAACTCCCACTGAAATAGGGGACTTTGCTCTCAAGCCAGTGTCCAGCCACTCCAGGCCTTCACACTGTTGTTGGGGACTCAGCCTTCCTGCTTTGCACCCCTTTTCTCTAGCTAGCCCCTTGCAGCCTAGGGGCACCACACCAGGCTCTTGGGTTTCAGCCCCATCCATTCAGTCTCTCGGGGCCTCTGCCCCCTGCTTTTGCTCTGGCCCTCGGCCCCAGAGTTCACCCCTCATGAGCTATGGGTCCCCAACCCTTGCTTTGGGGCTCCCAGGCATCTCTGCCCCTCTTGGGCTATGGGGTCCCTGACCCCAGTAGCCTCATCTCTGCTCCTCATGGGCTTCAGGCCCCAGTTCACACCCTCTAAAAGCAATACTGGGCTCCCTGGCCTGTCTCCACCCTGCTAAGGCTCAGGGCCCTGTGGCCTGGTCACTGCCTTGAGCCCAACTCCTGGTCTCTTATGCACTAATGGGACCTCCCAAAAAAAAAAACAACACACACAAACCTGTCCCACCCAGTTTAAAAGAGGTCAATAAAAATCATACACCCTCTGGCTGCAACACAAACTGCACCACTCTGGTTATATTCCCCTGCAAGCCATTCAAGCCTTACTTGCAAGGCACCTGCCAGCTCAGGGTTGCAGGGGTGTCAGTCTCCCAAACCCATGGGCCAGATCCAGATGAAGGGGACCCTTGAAGACTGGACCCAGCTGATCAGGTGGGCAGTAGGGAAGATGGCAGCTAATGCCCGTTTCCCCTTGGTTATCTATCCCAATTAGCAGTGAGTGGATGGGTGCATCTCTCTCTTTTTAGAAGAAAAGCCTAGGCCAATCCATGCCCATACAGAGCAAGTCTCTTATGCTGCCTCCTAACCAGATTGCAAAAACTTGCAAATTGTTTCCTGGTCATACCTGGAATGCATAGATAGGGGCAGGGTGAAAGCTGTACATCCTTTCAACCCCCGCAAGACAAAAGCACCACTGAAGCCATATTCACCCAGTCTTTTTGTGGGTAGATTGACCATGCCTGGATACTTTTTTTTGACTGAAGTAGGCAGGGGTCATGAAGATGGACTCAGATTTCCACTCAGCAGTGCAGCTGGGCAACTCTGATCCTACTCAAATCACAGGAGAAAGCATTTCTGGAAGCCTCTGGTCAATCCAGTCTCCAAACAGCCAGTAATGGCCAGTTGAGAAGCTATTAAAAAGAAGAAAAAGCCCTACATGGGCACTATTGGAGAACCAGTTGGGAAGAAAGTCTCCCCTAAACACGATGGATTTTCCCCTTCTAAAAACACTGGGGTAGCAGTTCTCTCTTTCAAGTGAGGAAACGATGGTCACATTATCCACCCCCCACTCCATATTAATACTCCCTGCAATTATTAGTGGCATCCTCTACCT